AATCTCTGAAAGTCAAATTATCTCTTCATGGGATGATGGATTTCTAAATGCTAAGTTCCTTCTTTTCAACAAAGAGATAATTCTGATGAATCGGTATTTACAAAGTGACATGTGGCAGGATGATAATGTTAGACAAATGTCTGTGTGAGCCTTAAAATACGACACAGTGATAATTTTTATGGACTGCCACAGGCAGGCACATTCAGATTTTCAGGACCTTCTGACTTTAAAGAATGGGTTTAGAAGCAAAGAGTTTGGGGATGCTACTAACCACACAGGGATATGGTGCATCAGGGATAAGTGGTACAAACGTTGAAGCAGGAGGTATTCAGCAAGCCCAAAGTTCAAAAATGCTTGGGGACACTCTACAGTGAGTGTGTGTGTGTGTGTGTGTGTGTGACCCAGTCCTGTCTGACTCTTCACGACCCAATGGACTGTAACCCTCCAGGCTCCTCTGTCCACGGAATTCTCCAGGCAAGAATATTGGAGTGGGTTGCCATTCCCATCTCCAGGGGATCTTCCCAACCCAGGGATTGAACCCAGGTCTGCTTCATTGAAGGTAGATTCTTCACCATCTGAGTCACCATGGAAGTCCTTCTGGTGCTGAAATTCCATAATCTTCGAGCCTCATTCCATCATCCCATTTATAACAAGTTGAATGTTGCCTGCCTACAAACCTGGCAATGCCTCTGTACACTGCTGTCCAATGAGCACTCCAGTGAGAATCTCCTGTGTATACACACACGCTTATTCAAATCCTTGACTTTATTTTCCTGTTAGAATTTGACATACATGCTGATTTTCCAGAGGACTGACATAAGGCAATAGGATCTTCATGACCCACCATCCCCACATCCCAGGTAACTGCTTTGAGCCCAGAACAGCAGACTCTTGCCATTACTGAGCTATTACTATGAAATGATATGATTTTAGATCCCCTGTTTGAGTGGTCTAATTTAATCCCCACAATAACTTTGGATGTAAACTTTTCTGATTCCCATTTCAAAGATGAGGAAAGGCTTTGACAGGTTAAGCAATATTTTCCAATCTCCCACAGGGATACAAAGAGAGAGCCCTAGAACACAGTCCTAGCCTCTTTCACGACAGTTTCACAGCCATTTGGTAGAGTGATTTTTCTGATATCAAGATGGCCTCAATCTCTTCTGCAGACACATCACTACATCTATGTTTTTTTCCTACTTCCTTTGACTTTGATATCTCCATAAAAACATACAATTCCCAAAGAGATCATATGCTGGCTTGGTCTCTGTGTCAGCAACATACTGGCGAGCATTAAGCGTGAACACTTACCCAGTGAGGCAGGGTTGGCAGAATGTACATTTAACCTGAAAAAAATCCCATCCGATCTTTCTTTTCATAGGTGACACATAATCTATAATGGACTATCTAAAAATGATGCACTCTGTTAGGTGTGTAGCTGCCACTATGTGCACGAGGAGATGGAACTCTTCCACGGAGCAGCGTGACTGGCATTAGTACCTGTCAGGTAGCATTTGCGTTTTCTGTGAAGCTAAAAACACCAACAAACCTCCTCAAGAGCATGGCCCCTTGAGGCAGGGCAGCCAAGACAACCAACAAGCAGGATGGGTCCCTGGCGAGTCTTAATTTATATCAGTGACAATTAGGCAACCTCCAGGGAAGGTGGCATGAAGAATGTCCAGTTCTCAAGGCTGAGAGATCTTGGAACTGGTATCAGGGAAAGTTGGGATTTGCTTAAAATACTGAAGAATGTGGTAGCTTTCCTTGTTTGAAGGTGACTTGAAGCACATATGGAAAATTTACAGGAATAAGAATTACATGGTTGTTCATGTAAGTTTCTATAAGAATCTATGCACAAGTAACCCCACATTAAATTATAAAGCATATACAGTTTTTTTTAATGATGATTTTTTTTGTTTAACAATTATTCTCCTTTTTGTGACTTTGTAACATCTTGGGTTTTTTAGAGCTCACTGTTTCCCCCTGATCTCAGGGACTTGCTCTCTCCAAATAGTTATGGATCCCACACCTCATCTTCAAGACTCATCTGACCAGATGACTTATGTAATGATCTTGAATGATCCAAGACTACTTGGAGCTAATAGATAATAAGTAGCTCATGATGGCTAAAGAGGCTACATATTCCAGGAAAAAAAAAAAAAAGACGAGCATGCTAGTTTGTGTCTGAATACTAGGAATGAATATTTCAGGACTTTCTTCTTCTTCAGCAGAGACCAGTCACAGAGAGATATGTGAAGGGGGCTGTTTTCTGCAGTTCTCAGACCAAGACACCTACTAACTACACTCTCTGCACTGCCAGATGATTCAGCCTGCCTCCCCTCTGGTTGCTTCTTCCCCACGTGCGCATTCTCTTGGTGCTTCAAAATCTGATACCAACATAAGTTGTCCCTTACTTTATCCCATATCTTTAAGTGCACCAATGGCTTCCTTCTCCCATCCACTCTTTTCTTTCATTAAAACAATTTCTCAATACAAGAAATTCTCAGTAATATAATTTATTATGTCATTTCTCTCGATGTTTTCTTTGTGATCTAGCAATCTGTTCTTTCCCCCATTTTTCCACTTCCAAGTTCCAAAGTGTCAGGATTTTTGAAATAGTATTTTGGGACTACTTTCAAAGAAAATACAAGTTTTGTTGAATTTGGACAAAGAAAGTACAAGAAATAATAACAAACACAGACCACCCATGTTATTATAGTCAGTAATGGAAGAACAAATACACTGATAGTGGTAACATCTACCTTCACACAGGATGGCACCTTCTACTGCAAGGGAAGTGGTAAGTAAGAAGAGAGAAGATATTTATATAACTTGGGGTCACAGGTAATTTAGCAGATGTGATCATAGATTCTTCACATGGAGGAAGCATGATATGAAAACACAAACACTGCTGTTTCTATTTCTGAAGGTAGTGGTTTGGATAATGAGCTTGCATGTTTTTATAAACTTAAATTCTCGATAATCAGCACTAAAATATGACTGCAGACAAAACAGTCTGGTTAGAGTATCTACACAGACTGGAGATGGGTCTGAGAATGATCCTAAGGGCCATCAGAGCATTCAGTCCCCCTTTCAGACTCTACAAAGCAGCAAATGTCAGAAAGAGCCAGAAAACTGTCATCAATCATTTAGATACTTCTAGCACATTTGGATGTCCCCTGTCATAGAGATAAATTATCCACATGTCAAACTAATTTTTCGGTTTCCACTTGAAAGCTTTGTGTCACCTAGGTCTAGTCAACATTGAATTAATATTTTTTTTCTCCCCAACCCCCCACAACATTATTGGATCCTATTACTGACAGCACTGTTGTTATACACTATGGTCTAGAGAATGTGGTTAATCTGATAGCCTAGGTAACTGAGTCACATATCCAGTTGTGTATTATACAGATTTTTCAAAACATTATTGTAACTCATATCTCTGTTTATATCTTATCTCCCCTTCTTCGCATGCATACACACACCAAAAAAAACCCAAAAAACTCCTTGAGGAAAAGGTCTAAATTTCAGCATCTTCATACCATTCATGGTATTTTAGTACTGTGCTCAATATGCATTACTCTTCATTAATAGATGTTTGCTGAATGGGTGAATCTATAATATCTGGATGGCCAATATTCGAAGACCTATATTGCAGAGAAAAACTACTCATGAGTGTATACAATATGAATGTCTCTTTCTTGATCATACTAAAGACATTTCAGGGTTTGTGCTACCTCAAGGTTATCATTGCAAATGTTGAAGCCCACTTAAGCATAAAATTGGTGAATGCTATTTAATAGAGGGCTAGGTGGTAAGATGGTAGGACATACTACACACTTGTGCAAGATCTCCTACAATTTCCAGAATCTGAAGGATAAAGACCCAAATCCACACATGTCCCATCAGAGCTTATTACTTTGTCCATATCTTTATACATCCAGCCTTGTCTCACACATTCGTCCTATTCTCTTGAGAGCACGTTTTTCTGCTTTTCAAGTCCTTTGAGGTTCCATCATTTTTCCTGCTATGAGCCCTGTGCCATGCTCTCTCAGAAACTCTCCAGTCTGTTCTTCTCCATTCCTAACCAGCCAGTGTCTACTCATCTTTTGAGAGAGCTTCTACCTTTAAGATGAGTAAAATTCCTTGATTATATGCCATACACACAAAATATTTACTACAGTTTATAATTATGTATTCATAGAAAAGTCACTGGAATAATGTTGATTCCCCCCCCCCCCCCCACTTTCTCTAGCAGCATGAAAGCATGGTTTACTTCCTTGGTTTACTCCCCATCGGATGAGGAGTACCTGGCACAGTGATGAGGAGAAAGGAGTCGCTCAATACATATTTGTGAATGAATCCATGGATAAATATGTGATTCTGCTTTCTGATTTATGGACTACATATAAATAAATGGCAAACACTTGTGTTTCTTATTTAGAATACTTATATAAGGTTACATATGAGGCTTGGTATCTTAAAGCATATTTTAAATAGCAGGTAACTCAATTTGGACATTATGAAAGTCCACTGAAATCCTCATTACTCTAATCCCCATGTACACTTTGTTTCCTTCATCAAATATGTTGTTTTAGCATTTTTAGTCATGTCTCTGCTGACAGTTCATTCTGATGCTGACATGGAATTGGTGAGAGACTTAAGCCTCTGTGAAAATGACTTTATACTCCTGGCTATAACGTGAACTAATATTTTTCTGCGAGGGCATTCAAGGCAACATGACCCCTTTTGAACTCAAAGAATCAATGAAAATGCCAATTATCACTAGATGGACAGGCAGAAAAGAATACATTCTTGTCTGTAGTGATTTTTGTCCTGCAAGACTTATGCTCCTTGTTCCATTTTCTGAACAATCTAGTAAAATTCAATTTACTTTTTCAATTTGTCTCCAGCCAAGCTTCCTTCTGTCAGCTCTACAGAAATTTCAATGCTGGCCACGTAGAGTACCAGGAGAAGGACAACAAGAATGAGATTACCTGTGCATTTGCGATCTGTGTCTTCTTTCTTTGACCCACTAATCGTCAACTTGCAGTTGAAGTTTTCCTCCCAGTATTCGGCAAACCATACGTTTCTTCGGTTGTTTTCAAGTGTGCGGGATGTAAAATAGGCATCAAACCCTAAACAGAGTTAAATGAAAAGGTCATTGCTTGCGGGGCACTGCTGGAACATTTGGAAATAAAAATACCAGTAATAGTTTTTCTTTGTTTTAGTGGACTAGATGCTTGCTCTTTTGTGTCAATCAAAAAACAACAACAAAAAAGAACAAGAAAAAGGTAAAAAAATTCTAATGCCAACACACATGGCTAAATCTTCACTTCATTCTATCAGGCAGATGTGTGGCCAACAAATGACATTTCACAGCAAAATCTGAGTTACAGATCTTAGCAACAATATGATGACCACAGCATTCTTTGTGCCTTTTGGGAACTAGACCAGGGACAAAGCATCTTTATAATCACCAAGATAATAAGTGATCATTTCCATACTTAGTATGGACCAGACTCTGCTTGACAGAGGTTCTTTCTTTCATTCATTGAGAAATGAAAGGTCGTTCTTTCTTAACAACCTGTGTGGCAGCTGCTATCACTTCTGTTATGCCAGTGAAAAAACAGAGTCTTAGAAGAAATAAGGGTTTCCCTGGTGGCTCAGATGGTAAAGAATCTACCTGTAATACAGAAAACTAGGGATTCGATCCCTGGGTTGGTAAGATCTCCTGGAGGAGGGAATGGGAACCCACTCCAGTATTCTTGCCTGGAGAATCCCATGGATAGAGGAGCCTGGCAAGCTATAGTGCATGGAGTCACAAAGAGTCAAATGTGACTGAGCAACTTAATATATTCATATGAGAAGAAATAGCAACATGCCTAAGGCCAATCATTATGCCATATTCTGCATCCCTAATTAGGTGAGTTCTGACCTGTGATTATCATTCTAAGAACCTTCCTGCATTTAGTAAGGATCATTATGGAACTGACTTTCCAGTCAGAAAGTAAGTTTATGTAGAGATCATAGGTAAACTGACCCCAACATAAGTGTAAAGCTGCTCATGAAGAGCTTTAGATGAACAGACTTGAGAGTATAAGTCCCTAGGAAATATTTAGCTATCTCTTTGATATGGTTCAGCCTTAAATGGTCCGATGGTCCTGCAAGAATCAGATTGGACTCAGGATTGGAAGAGCAGGCATTGAATCCCAACTCCACAAACCTCAGTAAGTCCTGGAAACATGAACAAGTACAGGCTGCAATGGTCTTATTTCCCTTTCATTGACCTTTAAGATGAAAACCCCACTACCTGTTTTCCTCACAGCATCTTGTTTCCAGCCATGGTAAGAATTTGGAAACTCACTGATTTTAAGATCAAGAACCACAGAAGGTGGATTTATTTTCACAATAATTAAATCATTCAAAGTTAAACTTATTTAAAACCCTAAGCGGGGGGTGGAGCTCCCAACTAAATCTCACAAGAGGAGCACATTGATTTAATTTTATCCGCCACTATCTTCCTGTTTCAATACACAGTAACCCCACTATAAGTGGAAAACTTGAAATAAGTAAATGAGACAAAGAAACAGCAAAGAATATGGAGATAGCATAATATTTTAGGGAAAATAAAAATAATTGTCTACATCTCTTGCTTATTTTCTAGGGTGTTGTCAAAACACAATATCCAGTCTTTCTATGCTCCTGACCTCATTGATTTGAGGTAATTGAGCTATAGCGTCAGATCTCACCCTGATCTCCGTCTTGACAGACTCATGAGCCTGCTGGAAGTCCCCTCTTGCCTCACTGTTCTCCCATAACCCTGAGACCCAATGACTGTTCAGTAAAATGTCAATTCCTAAATAAAAGGAATCTTTGGGGAAAAGACTGGTGAGTCCCCCAAGGTTTCCAGGAATACTACACATACACCCTTGGTCATGTAAACACATGCATCCACTCAACACAGGTGACTAATCTTTCATTTCTCTTTCCATCTTTGCCCCTCCACCCGAGGTGGGGGAGCAACAGTGGTACTGGTGGCCCCGACAGACCGTACTTCCCAAGCTCCATGCCCTTCTGACATCCCGTCTTATGGAGGTGGCTTCTTTGTCTGTGGGCCATTGGCATGTATGATGCCAATAGTCTGGAAAACCTTTACTCACTGTGCCTCTTCTTTGTGAGAGTCTCCTGCTAGGAATCCAGCTACCAGGCTCTAACAGGACGACAGGCTTTTCTGGGGTACAGGAAACTATGTGGAAAGAAAGGAGCCTAGCCAGACCCCAACCCTCTCAGCCAAGCCTCTACGGACTTCGCACCCCTGCTGCTGACTGCAGCAGAACCACTCGGCTGAGACCAGCCCTGGTTGCAGAACTGGGGTGAGTCGTCTTCTCAATGGCTGAGGTGGTTTATTTCTGCAGCCGCAAAGTGAAATGCACCTGCCTTGGCACAGCACCCTGAGCCCTAAACAACACACCCTTAAGGAAGACACAGCCTCCAAAGAACACAAATAGAAATAAACTCTCTGGCCACATGCCACAGGTCTGAGCCTCAAACCAGCCTCAGAAAAGCAACTTCTAAAATGGCTCAAATTGTTACATCCATACCTACATTCCCCAGCTCAGAAGTAAACATCTTCAGAGGAATCCTCATCACTGAAAAAGTCCATCACTTCAAAATACCTCTCTCTTCAGCCTGTTATCTGCTGGAAATGCAAAGACATGCTGGGTCAGCAAGGACCAGGGGGCAGCTAGCAAACACACTGGCGAGCATGAGAAAGCAGCAGGTCCCTCCCTCTAAGTGAGAACCAACAACTCCCAGAAAGCCTGCACTCTAACAGAAAGTTACGAGTAGCAGGCTTTCCTAGTTGCAACCGTCATCCTTTTCCTCACACATCAAGTTCACTCTCAGCTTCCTTCTCACAGCAGGGACTCACTCGTAGGCTGAACTTGGCTTTCATGCCCCCCAGGAATGAGCGACCAACTTTGCTGGGCATTTTATAAGATGCGGAGGTTCTTGGTGAAACCAGAGGCTGCGATTTTAACAAGCCCCAGGTGCTGTGCATGAAGCTCGGGTCTGAGAAGCAGGGCTTCGCCAATCCTGGGTTTTTAACAAGCTCCAGGTGTTGTTCTTGTTGCCCAGATTCTGAGAAGCAGGGCTCGAGAGCGACTCCGGAGTCTCCACAGCTGGGATTCAAGCGGGCTCAGCCCAATTTGTTAACTCAGCGTTGTTACTTTCTCAACCTTGAATGTTTGCCCTGGTTCAGATGCCAGGGTCTTCATTTTGCAGTTGAGACTTCTGCTTCGTACCATACCTTGCTCAGCATTGCAGGAGCCCTGCTTTGCCTCCTGTGGGCTGCAGATGGCTGGGGGGAGGTGGAGGGTGCTGGGTGACCTATGAGTGAATTTTCCTAGTGTCTTTGCTCCGTTGCTGCCTGGGGCTCCCTTGCAGCCTCAAAGACTGTGTTCCTCACCCATGTCTCCAGTTAATGCCCTGGACTCCCCACATCAGGAATTTTAATCCTGGTGCAGTGCTTTAGCGATTCTAAGAAGCTAACCAGAAATAGCCTTGTGCCTTTGAAATGGAGGAGGACTCTGTGGTTCTTCTCACCTCTGTCCTCTGCCTGCTTGTGTCTGTAGAAGAACTTTACCCAAAGAGTAAGTTTAACCAGAGAAGTGAGAAAATGCAGAAGGAAAGGAAAACAGTCAAGCAGGACAAAATAATAATAGTTTAGTCATTAAACCAAGTCAAGAGCCTTTAGTTCCTCCTTGAGGGTTACAGACAATATTCTGAGCCAGGTCCTGTGAGCTGTCTTGTAGATACTGAAACCCCCACCATGTGGAAGAAGTTAATTACATGATGACCAGAGTGTAGCCATGACGTATGCTGCCACAATTCTGAGAACTAGCCTCAACAAAATGGGATCAAACTGACCCTGGAACTAAAGATTAACTGTACTCAAAACAATTGAGATGACACCATCAGACCGTGGGGTGACCAAAAACTGCCAAAAACCAAAACTGCGTGGTTTTTACATGTAGCCCCTTCTCTGCCCGTGCACCCCTGAAACTCCCCTTTAAAAGCTCTTGCCCACTGATTGTCAGTGGAAGAGTTGAGCTCTGGACACAAGTCTGCCCTTGGCCCTGGTTGCTGGCCTCTGAAATAAAGCAAACTTTTCACCAGTTGTGCCTCTTTATTGGCTTTTGAGTGGCAAGCAGCCAGACCCCAATTTTGGTCACATGTTAATTACCTCTTCTGAAGGCCCATCGCCTTCAAGGAAAACTCAGAGCCCTTAGCCAGGTACCAACATAGCATAAATTGGCTTTTGGATGGTTTACTACAGACTGGAACTGCTAACCCACAGGGGACCTGAGACGGGTCTGTGGGTCTTTACAATCCACTATTTGTAAAGCACTCAGCACTGCGCTACTCCAGTAAAATACAAACTGTTGGTTCTTCAGTAAACACACTCATGCATTAAACATTTATGGAGCACCTACCCTATGACAGGCAGTCTTCTCTGTACTCACAGACCTTGGGATTAAAACATTTATGGCCCTTCATGAGAGTAAGAGCCAGTCTGATGGAGAAGATAGACTTAACAAGCACCGTTTAAATAAACATAAAATTACAACTATGATGGCTTCTATGAAAGAAGGGTACATGGTGTTTTGGGAGCACAGAGACAGAACTGTGTTAGGGAGTCAGAGAGGGCTTCCTGGAGAGAGTAGATATGTAGGTGGGAAAAAAAATGGAAAACCAGGGAGCAGATAAGAGCAGAGATAGGACATTCACTCACATGGAATAGCTATGCTTTAGGAATATCCCCTTCATGGGTCACTGCCTTGTGGTGGTGAAGGGCTTGTGTAACTCAATGAAGTTATGAGTCATGCTGTGTAGACCCAAGACAGACGGGTCATAGTGGAGAGTTCTGACAAAACATGATTCACTGGAGGAGGGAATGGCAAGCCACTGCACTATACTAGCCATGAGAACTCAATGAACTGTATAAAAAGATAAAAAGATCTAACACCGAAAGATGAGCTCCCTAGATTGGAAGGTGTCCAATAAGCTACTGAAAAGAGTGGAGGAGAATTACCAATAGCCCCAAAATGAAGTGGCTGGGCTAAAGCAGAAACAA